GAAGAAATTCTTGCGCACTGTTAATGTCATTGCTTGTATTTATTTACTGAACAGATTTAGATAGCTGCCTATCTGGCATAACCCTCGTTGGATTAGAAACAGTAACAAAAACAATAACATCATAAAACCAGCGTCAAAATTTCAGGCATCCCCCAAAACAGCACACCCCTTACATTTCCAAGGTGGCTCAGTGGTTAAGGTGCTGGGCTTGTCGGGTAGAAAGCCGGCAGTCCGGGTTCGAGACCTAAGCGCCATGCGACGGGATGAGCTCCCGTTCCTTGCCTCAGCTCCTGCCAACCTAGCAGTTCAAAAGCATGCAAATGTGAGTAGATAAATAGATACTACTACTACAGTAGGAAGGTAACAGCGCTCCGTGACATAATATCGTCCACATAACTGCAGAAATGTCTTCGGACAGCGCTGGCTCAGTAGCCTTGAAAGAGAGATGAGCAAGTGCCCCCTAGAGTCGACAACAACTAGCGGAGTAAAATCCGCAGGGACACCTTCACCCTTACCTTACATCTCCAAACAATTCCACTGGTCTCCAACCTCATGCTAGCTAAGGCTTGTGGGGAAAAGCCAGGCCTTCGAGGCTTTTCCAAAAGTGGCCTGCTGGATCTCAGGAGAAAAAGTGTCTCAAAGGGCAGGTGCCACTTTAGGTGGTCTTCAAGCCCATGGAGAGGGAGTTGTAATAACCTCAACTAGAGATAAGGATATGAGTGACCATAATCTAATGCCCCTTGTTGCAGATGTGTCACTGAAGCTGTGCAAAGCCCTTTCTGGCCATGGTCTCCATCTGACCTTAGAGCAGGAGCTGAGAGTCCAGGAGGAACTACCATTTGTAAGGCTATTCTTCCTGAGAAAACATAACAGCATCCAGAGTCAACTGGAATCAGATGGCTATGGAGATTCTCAGCTATCCAGGTCGTGGTTGTCCCAAAGGTGCTTTTTTTCAGGAGGCAGCTGGACTTGTTTTTCTTTGAAGACGTTTCGCTTCTCATCCCAGAAGCTTCTTCAGCTCTGACTGAATGGTGGGGAATGAAAGGATTTATATTACTTGCAGACAGCTGGTCATTTGCCTTCTTTTAGAGCAGGGGTGTCAAACTGCCGGCCCATGGGCCGGACGCATCATCAGGAAACCATGCCCACCCCATTGCCGGCAATGGCGAAAAAGCTCCGATACGTTGCACGACGTCACGTGACCTCGCGAGTTTGACATGTCTGTTTTAGAGAGTCACTGAGGCCATTTGGAGATTTATCTGTGTCCTCAGGGTGACCTGAGTGGTGCAAATTTGTGTGGAGCCTTCTTGGCTGCAGGATGTTTTTCTGCCTTGGGTCCCTTCACCGCTGAAGACAGGCGCAGGCTGTTGGGGATGAGTCTGTGTTGTCTGCAGCTCAAAATGGTTCCTGTAGCCTGCGATGTTTTCTGGGAATCCATTCATGCTCTCGCACCATTCGAAGGGGGTTCATCCCAAAGTGCATAGCTAAATGCATCCCCAACAGCCTGCAGCCAAGAAGGCTCCACACAAATTTGCACTACTCAGATGGCCTTGAGGACACAGACAAACCTCCAAGGAACCATTTTGAGCTGCAGACAACACAGACTCATCCCCAACAGCCATCCATAGCCATCTGATTCCAGTTGACTCTGGATGCTGTTAAGTTTTCTCAGGAAGAGTAGCCTTACAAATGGTAGTTCCTCCTGGACTCTCAGCTCCTGCTCTAAGGTCAGATGGAGACCATGGCCAGAAAGGGCTTTGCACAGCTTCAGTGACACATCTGCAACAAGGGGCATTAGATTATGGTCACTCTTATCCTTATCTCTAGTTTAGGTTATTACAACTCTCTCTCCAGGGGCTTGAAGACCACCTAAAGAAGTTCAGCTGGTCCAGAATGTAGTGATGTGGACACAATATAGGTAGTTCTTGACTTACCACAGTTCATTTAGTGACCATTCAAAGTTACAACAGCATCGAAAAAAGTGACATGATCGTTTTTCACACTTAACAAAATTTTGGAAATTCTTGAGTTGGGGGAGGCGGTTGATCGATTAACAACAGATACCACCTCCCCCCCCATCTTGCTCCAACGCTCCCCATTTTTTAAATTGGGCCATCTTTCACTTGTACTTGGCCGTGTGTAATATTTTATTTATGCTTTTATCTTTGTACAGTTTTTATGTTTTACGACTGCAAGCCACCCAGAGTTACCCTACTAAGATAAGATGGGTGGCCGATAAATTTTCTAAATAAATAAAATAAATAAATGTCCTAAATGAATAAAATCTTTGTTTCAACGCTGATTGCTCTACTGGCGTACTGAGAAGCTGTTGAATTGTGGTTTTTCAGTTTTGTGCGCTCTGTCACAATGGACAAATGGAAAGACATCGAATTGGAGAAGATGAAGGCCGGCGGTAACTTGAAATTCCGAGAGTTTTTAGAGTCTCAGGATGATTATGACCCTTGCTGGTCGTTACAAGAGAAGTACAACAGCAGAGCTGCAGCACTCTTCAGAGATAAGGTAAATCCGATTAAGTACGATTGCAACGTTCTTGGACCTTGCTTTTTTTAAAAAAAAACCTCCATTTAGGATTCTGCATTTCTATGAAAATTAACCTGTCAAGATGAGAAAGAGACTGATTTACGGCCTCAGAATTTCTCTCGTTTGGCTTCCGCAGTATATGATTTTTGACAAGTGGAACCCTGAGTTTATTATTTAGGTTGTTAGGAAGCGTGTGCATGTGAGAGGAAAAAGTGTTATCGTTTCACACTCAACAATTTCATTTTCACAACTGAAACATTCAAAATCCCCCCTTTTTGACTGAAACAAGTCTGAGGGAGGAATAATTTGCAGATCCCCGTTACTTGCTTACCTAGCAGTTTGTGATGACACAGGACACAGCACAGAGGCAGTGCAGTCAGCTGGCAATTCAAACCGCCCTTTAATTGCTCCAAATTTTCCCCAAATGCTCCCACGTTTCTGGCAAGCCTCCAAACAAAGGAAGACACACACACCTCTGGCTGCAAGGAGTTTCACATACAGTCTTGATTAGGAGAGGAATTTACTCAAGGCCATGGAGATAACAAGGAATGACACATACATCATAAACCTAACGGGTCTGTGTGAATACACGCTTGCCTGAGCAGTCTCAGAAGGGAAGCCAAAATACAGTTAAACATCCAAGCAACGTTGTCAGCCAGTCCAAGGGTCAAGAGCTTTCTGGGTTTCCAAGCAGAAGTCACAGAACAAGAGATCAGCAACAACACACACAAAACTCCAAGGAATCAGCATTTGTTCCCGACAAATGCCTCTCCCCACAGCGTTTCCTCAGGTGCACCTTGTGGAGAGGGGTGGGATGCTCTCCTCGTGAATAGTTGAGCCTGCCTGCGTTGTTCCCTCCTTCTCTCCACTCTCTGTGCTCTAGGATCAGATGGGGGTGGCCCTTGCTCATCGCCTGAACCCTGTCTCTCCTGTTCTCCTCCTGTCCCACTCCTGAAGGGCCCTGGCCTGCCTCGGCCTGCTCTTCCCACATTCCTCCGAAGCCACAGACACCTCTCCCTCGACCTCCATAGGGTCCCGTTCCAGCTCATTTTCCTCCATAGACACAGTTTGAAAGTATACGAATGCAAGTAGATAAATAGGTACTACGATGGGAAGCTAACAGCATTCGGTGCGCCTTTGGTGTATAGTCCCGCTGGCCACTTGACCACGGAAAATGTCTTTGGACCACGCTGGTTTCTTCGGCCAAGAAATGGAGATGAACACTGTGCCCTAGAGTCAGACATGGCCGGACAGGAAAACTTAACTTTTTACCTTTTACCTTACTCAAGTCGACCCCGCTGAAAACAAGTTTGTTTTGATGCCAGAATGACACTCTTAGCAAAATGCAGGCTTTCTATTTCCTTCTCAGAACAATCCAAACGTTTGTTTTGAATCCACGACAGTTCCCAGCCACGGTGTTTTTCAGGAAAGCAGTGGTTTTTTTTGTTTTTTGTTTTTAAGTAGAAAAGTGAACATGGCTGTGTTTTGTCTGTTCTTGTTCCATTCTGGCGATTCTGCAAATTCTCACCACCTGCCCCAATAAATCACGTGCCGTTTACCGAACCATAAAAATAGTAAGAGGCTATGTGGTAAGAACGTGCTGAGATCAGCCGTTCCTGTGGCTGATCTGGAATTGTCAGCAGCCCTTTCTTTCTGAAATTCACCCCAGCCATCATTCCCATTAGCACGGAGGGTTTTTTTTAACTGGCACGGACTGTTTATTTTTCTTTTCCTCTTTCAAGCTGTCTTCACTGATGATTGTGGTCCCCTCTTGTTACGAGCCGTCAGCAAGCCTGTGGCTGTTTCCCTAATTTAAGCCCTGCCACTGTGGGCGTGCTTGCAATTCTCTCTACTCCCAGAATACGTGTGGGTGGTTTGTCAGGCATATATGCCCCCCCCCAGGACATCTTTTGCGGTCCTAGAACTTCTAAGTGCAAACCAAGCTGAACCTTTGTGATGGGGCACCAGTTGTGGGTGCCTCATCACTGGAGGCTTTCAAGAACAGACTGGACAGCCATTTGTCTGAAATGGTATAAACCAGTGGTGGCGAACCTATGGCACGCGTGCCAGAGGCGGCGCTCAGAGCCCTCTCTGTTGGCACACGCGCCACTGCCGCCAGCAGCAGGTCCATCAGGCCACCACCGCCACCCAGAGCAGGAGCCCCGCTCAGCACAAAGGAGGCGAAGCGGCCGACTAGCAAGCTGGAGTAGAGGTGGTAGAGCAGAGGTCACCAACCATTGTCGATTGGTGGACTGGAAGAAAAGGGAGGGGGAAGCATTTTACATGTGTGCACACGCACACGGGGCTGCGAGCATTGACACACTGCAAATGGGGCGGGGCTAATGCCTGCATGATACTCACTAGCCTTGCCCCGTTCTTATGTGGTGCAGCACCTTGTATCTGTACCCTGCGGCGCGGTGGCGGCCATTTTTGCGCCTTGCAGCATGGTGGCCCATTTTTGTGCCCCTGGTTTTTGCGTGCCAGAGGCAGCACTCAGAGGAGCCTCCCTGCCCCCTCGAGGGCACCACAATGCTGATGTGGCCCTGGCACTTTGCGATAAATAAGTGGGTTTGGGGTTGCGGTCTCTAAAAGATTCGCCATCACTGGTATAGACTCTCCTGCTTGAACAGGGTTTTTTGTCTAGATGATCTCCAAGGTCTCGTCTCTTCTCCCTTCCCCTCCCCTCCTCCTTCTCTCCCCTCTCCTCCTCTCCTCTCCTTTTCTCCTCTCCCCTCCTCTCCTCTTCTCTCCTCTCCTTCTTTTCTCCTCTCCTCCCCTTCTTTTCTCCTCTCCTCTCCTCTCCTCTCCTCTCCTTTCCCCTCCTCTCCTCTCTTCTCCCCTCCCCTCCCCTCCCCTACTCAATTTAGGAGAAGATAGTAGGGTGAGGGCCAAATTAGTGCCTAAAGAGCTTGTTTGCTGTAGTGATTATGGTGTTCATCTAGAAACCACGAGTTCTAATCCCGCCTTAGGCATGAAGGCCGTCCAGGTGACTTTGGCCAATCACCAGGAGACTGCGAGTTCTAGTCCCTCCTTAGGCAGGAAAGCTGGACGGGTGACTTTGAGCCAGTCACATTCTCTCAACCCAATCCACCTTGGGGTTATTGTTGTGGGGAACATAGGAGGAGGCACATTCTCTATAGCTAGTCCTCAACTTAAGACTGGCCACTTTGTTATCACAGAGCTATCTTGGGCCTACAACATGACCAGACTTCAAGTGCTCAGCTACACGGCTGCATGTACAACCACTAGCAGTCCCAGGCAAGGTAGAAAGAGGAAATGTCAGCTCAAGAGTAAAGAAACTTGTCTGCCTCTGTCTCAGAACAAGGCTTTGAGATATTTTCTAGATCAGCGGTTCTCAACCTATGGGTCGCGACCCCATTTGGGGTCGATCGACCATTTCACGGGGGTCGCCAAGCAAGGCTGTCCGCCATTTTTTCCCCCTTTTCCGGCGGGTGCCTTACCTCCCTTGGGCTGGGCCAGCTGGTGGTCGGCCTGCTCCGTCTCTGCCACTTGCCAGCTATGCCTCGGCCGGCGCAGGGGGCGGAACCACGCATGCGCGGCGCTCCCGGGCAGGGAAAGTCCTCGACTTACGACCGGTTGGGTAGTCCTCGACTTACGACCGGTTTGGTCCTCGACGTACGACCGGTTTAGTCCTCGACTTACGTCCGGTTGGGGGTCGCGGCATTAAAAAGGTTGAGAACCACTGTTCTAGATCTTAAGGGTCCAATCGTGTTCAACCTATCCTGTTTCTTGTTGCGCTAAAGCTGGCTCGGGAATTCTGGGAGTTGAAGGCCACAAGTCATAAAGGGGCCAGGGTTCCCCCTCTCTCCCACTAAAGTAAACTTAATTTGTTTGTTTAAAGTCCTTTCTTTCTTTAGGTGGCCGTGTTAGCTGAGGGCAAAGATTGGTCCTTTGAAACCTCTGCTGCTCGGAACTGGAGCCCTCCGCAGCCCAAAGTTGCTTTGTCCTCAGTTCATCGGTAAACATTTCGTGGTTTCGGTGATATTTTAAAGCTTTCCTTTTTACTACCAAAGCACGGTCGCTTGAGGAACGCAGCTGAACGTTTAAGAGAGCGCAGGTGCACGCGTAAGCGAGGGCTTGCCTCGCTCGTTCCTCCTGAACAAAAGAACAGAATATAAATCTTGACAGGGAAAATGAGCCAATTAACTAAAAATAAATGCATTTGTGAGCAAAGGGCGGATTTGCTATGTCGGCTCAGCTAGAGATCACATTTGTGCCCAATTTTCCTAGGTTGACAGTAGTGTAGCAGGTTGCAGGACGTTCTGTGAGACAAAAAAATGGTGTTTGTACAGTAGTGGAAACCTTTTGGGAAAAGTGTACAGTAGAAATGCCCCCTTTGGTTAAGTTTCCACCCATTTTTTCTTCTAATTTCTTTATAACTGTAGCCATGTTCACGTAATAATGCTATTTTACATCGCTTTCTGAGCGACCAGTCAACTCTTTGCACCATGACTTTAGTTTTATTACGTTTTACAAGCTCACCAAATGAAAGAACACAAAATAAACCCAACCAACTTGATAGCCATCACACAACACACTGACCAATGTCCTCCTCTCGGCTTCAATACAGGACATCGATAACTGAATCCTACTGTGATCTGATTGGCTCATTGCCATAACAAGATGACACCCGATTGGCTCTCTAAACACTCATGCTCATTGGCTACAGTTGGATGAAGGAAAGCTACCTGAGATCAATCTAAGCAAGTTGTGCTTCCTTTTTCTGGTTATTTGACTATAACTTTTTATAGAATACAGTACAGATAATTGAACCAACTTTTTTGCATTACATTCTTGATTAAATTATCTTTCCATTGATTTATAGGTTTATGGTACTATTCCCCAAAAAAAGCGGTGTTATTAGCCATCCAACCTCAAAAGTACACTTTTCCCAAAAGGTTTCCACAATTTTGGCCACTGCTGTAATTTAACAGAGATTGCCTTTCCGTGATTTCATTTTGATGTCGTCGTTTTCTGCAGAAGTTCTGGAGGGCAACCGCAGAATACCGGTCCCACTTCTGATAAAGCATTTGAAGATTGGTTGAATGATGACGTTGGTTCCTATCAAAGGTAAATCCCATTTTCCATTTTAGATGGAATTCAGCAAAAGGCTTTGAAGAATCTTTTCTTTTTTTAATGCCTTCAAATCAGTTTTGGCTCAGAGTAACTGCCTGGACATGTCCCTGTAGTTTCTTTGGCAACTTTTTTGGAAGTGGTCAGCCATTGCCTCCTTCCTAGAGCCAAGAAACAGTAACTGGCTCGGGGTTTTGTATCTGAGGTGGGACTAGAACTCAGCTCTCCCAGTTTTTAATCTGTTGCCTTTAGCCGCTAGACCAGGGGTCTTCAAACTTGGCCCTTTTGTGACTTTGTGGACTTCAACTCCCAGAATCCCTCAGCCAGTGTTCCTGGCTGAGGAATTCTGGGAGTTGAAGTCCACAAGTCATAAAAGGGCCACCCAGAGTGCCTGGCTGAGGAATTCTGGGAGTTGAAGTCCACAAGTCATAAAAGGGCCACGTTTGAAGACCCCTGCGCTAGACCAATGTTTTTCAACCTCAGCAACTTCAAGGTATGTGGACCAACTTCCAGAATCCCCCAGCCAGCACGGTTGACTGGGGTATTCTGGGAGTTGAAGTCCAGACAGCTTAAAATGGCCAAGCTTGGGAAAGATTGCACTGCATCTAAGTGGCTCTTGCAGCGCTTTAAAGACCAGCAAATGTATTTTGATTATAAGTGGCTTATCCTTCCTTCCTTCCTTTTGTGTTCCAATTCAGCGGCCAAGAAAATCGCTACGTTGGGTTTGGGAATACAGTCACTCCTCCAAAAAAGGAAGATGACTTCCTCAATAATGCTATGTCTTCTCTTTACTCAGTAAGTCAACATTTTTTGTATGTGTGCTAATTCAAGATGTTGCTTTGCTGTCCTGTCATTACTAATATCTTTTTTTTTTAAAAAAAGAATAACATTGTGGAACAACCTGCCTCCGGAAGCGGTGAATGCTCCAACACTGGAGGTTTTTAAGAAGAGACTGGACAGCCATTTGTCCAAAATGGTATAGGGTTTCTTGCCTGAGCAGGAGGTTGGACTAGATGACCTCCAAGGTCCCTTCCAACTTTATTATTATTATTATTATTTGTTTGGTGACTATTCTAATATATTTCCATTTCTGGAAACCATCCTGGCTTCCCCATAATAATAATAATAATAGTAATAATAGTAATAATAGCCTCCAGTCCCCTAATCATCCTTGTTGCTCTTCTCTGTACTCTTTCTAGAGTCTCAACATCTTTTTTACATCGTGGTGACCAAAACTGGATGCAGTATTCCAAGTGTGGCCTTACCAAGGCATTGTAAAGTGGTATTAACACTTCACCTGATCTTGATTCTATCCCTCTGTTAATGCAGCCTAGCACTGTGTTGGCCTTTTTGGCAGCTGCAGCACATGGCTGGCTCATATTTAAGTGATTGTCCACTAGGACTCCGAGATCCCTCTCACAATTGAGCAAGATACCCCCTATACCAGTGGTGGCGAACCTATGGCACGCGTGCCGGAGGTGGCGCTCAGCCCTCTCTGTGGACACATGCACCATCGCCCCAGCCCTGCCTCCCCAGCAGTCCCCCCAGAGAGTTGCCCCGGAGCGTGGTCCGCACAGAGCAGCACAACTAAGGGCATGGCAGCCAGGCAGCAGGGACAAGACTCTACCCTCGCGCCCTGCAGGGCATGGATGGAGGGCATGGCCACCATGGCACTGCTGGGCTGCTTGGGCGATCTGCTGTGGTGAGCCGTGGAGGCAGTGGGTGGCCATGCGGGTGGGTGGGGCGCAGAGCAGGGGTGGGCAGGGAGGCGGGGGCAGTTTTTGGGCACTTGGTCTCTAAAAGGTTCACCATCACTGCCATATACTACACCTGTACATTTGGTTTTTCTTGCCTAAATGTAGAACCTTACTTTTTTCACCATTGAATTTCATTTTGTTAGTGTTCAAGTCTGTCCAGATCCTCTTGTATCTTAAGCCTGTCTTCTGGAGTGTTGGCTATTCCTGCCAGCTTGGTGTCATCTGCAAATTGGATGATTTCCCCATCTATCCCCTCGTCCAAGTCGTTGATGAAGATGTTGAAGAGCACTGGGCCCAGAACAGAGCCCTGTTTTTACTGAAATCTCTCCACAAAGCACTGACTTTCCATCTCTTTTTTTCCAGGGCTGGAGTAGTTTTACCTCTGGAGCAAGCAAGTTCGCCTCTGCAGCTAAAGAGGGTGTAAGTAAATATTCTGACTGGCCAATGTATCTACAGGTAGTCCCGGAGTTACGACCACAATTGAACCCAAAATTTCCATTGCTAAGCAAGATAGTTCTTAAGCGAGTTTTGCCCCATTTTACAACCTTTCTTATCACAGTTCTTAAGCGAATCGCTGCGGTTGTTAAGTTAGGAACACGGTTGTTAAGTGAATCTGGCTTCCCCCATTGACTTTGCTTGTCCGAAGGTCACAAATGGCGATCACGTGACCCCTAGGACAGTGCAACCGTCATCAGTACACGTCAGTTGCCAAGCCTCTGAATTTTGATCATGTGACCACGGGGATGCCGCAAAAACAGTCATCAGTGTAAAAAAGAGCCATTAAGCCACTTTTTTCTGTGGCGTTGTAACTTGTAACAAACGGTGTAATGAGAGGTCGACAAGTGAAGTCCATGGGGAAGCCAGATTGACTTAACCACTGTGTTACTAACTTAACTGCAGTGATTCACTTAACAACTGTAGCAAGAAAGGTCGTAAAATGGGGCAAAACTCATTTAACAATTGTCTTGCTTAGCAATGGAAATTTTAGGCTCAGTTGTGGCTGTAAGTCAGGGACTTCCTGTATACGATTGTCAATAAAGACTAGTATTTTTTCAAAACAAGCACTTGAGATAATTTTCAAAAAGATATTTGGAACAACCAAGATATTTGCAGATAGCTGACTTCGGGAAAAATTGCGACGTCAAGTGGCCTTGAATAACCAGCCTACAAGTGTTTTCCTGCGTTGTTTTCTAGTTTCTTCCAGACCATCTGTTTAAATATAAAATGGCTCTGGTATTTCCTTATAATATTAAGTGAACACGGTTCTTATGAATGTATATAAAAATATTGCTTACCAGGGGTAGGCAACCTTGGCTCTTTTATGACTCGTGGACTTCAACTCCCAGAATTCCTGAGCCAGCATGACTCAGCTTGGAAACTCTCCATTTCTCCTCAGCATGGCTGGCTCAGGAATTCTGGGAGTTGAAGTCCACGAGTCATAAAAAAGCCAAGGTTGCCTACCCCTGCACTAGACTATAACATTTATCCTACAATAAATGTATTAGTTCTTCACTAACTCGCTTCACTAACTTATTCAAGGATCCAATAAATAAAATAATTTATTTAAACAGAAACTATCACCCTAACAGGGCAGGCTTTAAGGTTTAATTACTGTAGATAATTAATCCATTACTGGAGGTTTTCAAGAAGAGATTTGACAGCTATTTGTCCTGAATGGTATGGGGGCTCCTGCTTGAGCAAGGTTTTTTTTTTATTGCAACAAACCAGGGGTCTTCAAAGTTGGCCCTTTTATGACTCGTGGACTTCAACTCCCAGAATGCCTCAGCCAGCATGGCTCAGCTTGGAAACCTCTCCCTTTCCCCTCAGCGTGGCTGGCTCAGGAATTCTGGGAATTGAAGTCCACAAGTCATAAAAGAGCCAAGGTTGCCTACCCCTGGCTTAGACTGTTAGATGTAACGGTTCATGAAGCAAAGCTCTATAATTTCTTGTTACTCACCAAGAATACTATTATTGAGATCAAGTCAGTAATAATAGCATTTATCCTTGCCACTGTACCCTGCATGTTCTTGTTTGTGCATCTGGGTATATTTTTTCAAATAGCTTTCAGACTTGGTAGATTGGTAATATTATTTCAGAAAAGTACGGGAGATGGTTAGCCTCATGAAAAATAAAGAAATGACTGAAGTACATTTGGGTAGCATTAAAAACCTTTTGTGTGGATGGATTCTAACAGCACATAATTTGGGATCCAGGGACATAATTGTTGCCAGTTCCTTAAGATGCTAGGAGGTTTTTATATATATAAAAAAATAGAATTTAAACCGGAATTGTGTTTGCTAGGAATATTAGGATTTAATTATGGAAAAGAGAATGAGTACTTAATATTACATGTATTAACAGCTGCGAGAATAGCATTTGCCCAATTCTGGAAAAATGAAAATCTACTATTTGACCAGATTATAATAAGAAAAATACTCGAATGTGCAGAAATGGACAGATTAACTTTAGAAATGAAAGAGAAAGAAGACTCAATCTATTTTAAAACATGGGATAAATTTTACCAATGGTTAGCAATACGGTAGAATGAGAAAAGGATATGAAATTTAATGGGAGAATTGATATTTTGTATTTAAATTTCATGTTTATCCCTATGAATTTTTCTCCTTTTTTATTTGTGATTTTAACAATAAGTAATTATAACCAATAAGTAACGTATTAATGTGTTAAAGTTATTATAATTAATTAGTAATATATTAGTAATATTATATTAAGTATTGCTATTTTATGTTAATTACTATGATTGAATATGTATACCCGGACGGGTTTACTTGCTGAAGCGTTGACTTATTGTGGGGGACAACTCCACTATTGTGCCTATCCCTTCCCCTGGTCTAACCTTTTTTGTTTGTTACCCTTTGTCATACCCTTATTGACCCCACTTCCCCTTTACCTTTATAAAATTTAATAAAATATTTATGTATATTAAAAAAAAGATGGTAGGAGGAAGGCCTACTTAATAAAATTAAAAAAAATCTTAGAATTTGCAGAGGGTTTGAATTTTTGATTTTGGAAAGGAAACGTGGAATCGAAATAAGCCAATTTTGCTTTTGTCAACAGGCTAGCAAGTTTGGATCTCAAGCAACTCAAAAGGTAACTCTTACAAACTACTGAACACTAAAAGTATTTCATTGGCTCTCTTTTCCTTGCAATTTGATTTTTGTGAATCTTCCCTGAGAAATAACACAAGCCACTGTTGCTTAGTTACATGGCAGATGAAAGTAAGGGGGTGAACCCATTGACTCTTTAGCTGCCTAATTAGTTAATTTGCTGCAGTATTGAACAATGAAACCCCTGTTTTTGTTCTTGGCATCAGCTTGTGTTAGCGGTAAACTGTACAGTCCAATTTCAGGCTCTTGAAATAATCCAGCAAGGCAACCTTGTTAGACTTCTGTAGCAAGGCACACCCTATTTCTTATCCTTTTTAAATGCAGTTGGAAATAACTGTCCAATGCTTGCTTACACCAGGCTGGAAGTCCCCAAGGTGCTTTTCCAAAAGGCAACTGGGCTTGGGTTTTTTCCCGTTGAAAACATTTCGTTTCTTATCCGAGAAGCTTTTCCAGTTCATATCCACTTCTTGGGATGAGAAGTGAAACGTTTTCAAAGGAAAACAAAACAAAACAAAACAAGGAAGTCCAGCTGCCTTTTGGAAAAGCACCTTTGGAATAATCATGACCTGGATGATTGAGAATATCCATAGCCAACAGGCTGGAAGTTTTGCCTTGTGGCGTTTCCAGTCCTTGTATTTGAACAGCAATTGTGAGCTTCACATAAACTGTGGACCCAGTTTCTAAGCTATGTAGCTTGCTATTATCCATTGTATATGTAGATAAATAGATAGACAGACAGATAGCTATGGATAGATGGATGATAGATAGATAGATAGATAGATAGATAGATAGATAGATAGATAGACAGACAGACAGACAGACAGACAGACAGACAGACAGACAGACAGACAGACAGACAGACAGACACCGGTAGATAGATTGATAGATTGATAGATAGATAGAGAGAGAGAGACAGACAGACAGACAGACAGACAGACAGACAGACAGACAGACAGACAGACAGACAGACAGACAGACAGACAGACAGACAGACAGACAGATATAGAGACATGGATGATAGAGAGAAAGAGATAGATAGATAGATAGATAGATAGATAGATAGATAGATAGATAGATAGATAGATAGATAGATGGATTAAGATAGATGGATTAAGATAGAGTGAGATAAGATAGGCTAAAAGTCTAGAAGGGATAATTGTGTGAAACAGTTAAATAGAACCTACCTTCAATTTATATTATTCCTGCACATCGCGTGATTTATACATATTTTACGTTTTAACTGACAACTGCTGAATATATTGTTGCCATGTTAGGACTTTTCCTTGACACAGGTGAATTAAGGAGACCAGAAGTCCATATACCTACTCAACGTTTCTTAGGTTGAGAAACACTGGTCTAATGTCATGTCTGCCTAATCCCCGCATAAATCTATGCAACCGGTTATTATTGTTTTCAAACCATCACATGTCAGGTCCAGATATTCAATTTATGAAATACTCTTTGAGAGAGGATTAACAGAATATCATTCCTTGATGCTTAGGGATCTTATGTTGGAGTTCCAGCAGGAGAAAATGCTGGATTTTTTTTTGTAGGAACTGACTTGTCCACATGTGGAGTGGCACAGATGAATAGTGGGGCCCTTGTGATTATGTAAATCTTTCTTCAAGTGGGCATTATGTTGGAGGTTATGTGTGGAGAACCAGTTTGTATAAGTTTCACTTTCTCTTTAGCTTCTCTCCCAGGATGACTGTATATATTCCTGAAGAGCTGGCATCATAAGCAAAAAAACCCAGCTACTTGGGGTCATATCTGGGCTAATAATATGTAATACACTTTTGCTAAAGTTTCCTGTTTTGTAGGAAACTGATATAGATTTCCCCCAAAACTGTGCAAAATAAAATTTAGAATCATTTGAGGTCTGCATTTAATTTGGAAACTAGCAGGTATGCAGTAAAAATAAACCAGTTTCAAGTTACACCACGTTCAAGCTTTACATAAATGTAATAAATTGTAGGAGATCTTAAGCCAGGGATTAACAACAAAGATTCGGCTCCAAAATGTGAATTTGCTCTCTGTAGTAAGCTTTTGATTGACAACAGCAAGAGTGTCATAATCACATAAAATGTTTGAAAAAAATTACAGCCCCTATCTTAAGCCTTTCTCTGAATTTAAAGAAGATATTTCCTCCTTAAACAGAATAGGATTGTTACACTATTACATCGTTTATCTTTTGTTCTAACACAGGGGTAGGCAACCTTGGCTCTTTTATGACTCGTGGACTTCAACTCCCAGAATTCCTGAGCCAGCCACGCTGAGGGGAAAGGGAGAGGTTTCCAAGCTGAGCCATGCTGGCTCAGGAATTCTGGGAGTTGAAGTCCGCGAGTCATAAAAGAGCCAAGGTTGCCTATCCCTGGTCTAACAGAAGTCATAGTTGCTAGCTTAAACCCTTGTTAAATAATAATAGTAGTTATGCATATATTTATTCAAAGTCCTAGTGTTTCTCAACTTTGGCAACTCTTAAGACGTGTGGACTTCGGCTCCCAGAATTCCCCATTCTGGCTGGAGAATTCTGGGAGTTGAAGTCCACACATCTTAGGCTCCCCAAGATTGAGAAAACACGGCACTTGAGACAGTCGCAACATTTTGCATCAGACTGATTTGAATTCAAAACACCTTGTCTTCAATGTAAAACACCTAGTTTTGAACGCTGATTTGAAGCATAAAATGGTTTTTCCCCCACCATCTTCTTTATCTATTTTATATTAGAAGAAGGGTGTCATTCCATGCCCGAAACAGAGTATTTTGAATTTTAAATCCTCCAAATTGAGACAGTTTGCATTCCGTGAGCGAGCACGAAAATGCAATTCGCCATTATCAAGTTCCCTGATGAGCCAAAGTCCGTTATCTTTCTTTTTCAGATTGGGTTATCCTAAAAGACAAATCAGTTTCTCAAATTAGCAAGTTCAGTTGTTGCTTTCGTTCCAGCTGTTGACATGTATGTGGCAAGTCATCTTGGCACGTTACAGTCGTGGCCAAAATTGTGGAAACCTTTTGGGAAAAGTGTACAGTAGAAATGCCCCCTTTGATTAAGTTTCCACCAATTTTTCTTCTAATTTCTTTATAACTGTAGCCTTGTCCACTTCATAATACTGTTTTACATCGCTTTCTGGGCAACCAGTCAACTCTTTGCACCCTTACTTTAATTTTATTACGTTTTACAAGCTCACTCAATGAAAGAACACAAAAAACCCCAACCAACGTGATAACCATCACACAACACACTGACACATGTCCTCCTCTCAGCTTCAATACAGGACATCAATAACTGAATCCTACTGTGATCTGATTGGCTCATGGCCAAAACAAGATGACACTGGATTGGCTCTCTAAACACTCACGCTCATTGGCTACAATCGGATGAAGGAAAGCTACATGAGATCAACCTAAGCAAGTTGTGCTTCCTTTTTCTGGTTATAACTTTTCATAGAACACAGTACAGATAATTGAACAAACTTTGTGGCATTACATTCTTGATTAAATTATCTTTCCATTGATATATAATTTTATGGTACTACTCCCCCCCCCCCAAAAAAGTGGTGTTATTAGCCATCAAACCTCAAAAATACACTTTCCCCAAAAGGTTTCCACAATTTTGGCCACTACTGTAGATGATAGACTTGCCACTTTTGTTAGCTGGGCACTAGTACGTAGGAAAAGAAATACCTTGCTTTCTTGCCTAGGTTTAAAATGCGTGCTTTTAGACCTTTTGCTAAAAGTTGCTTCTTCTACTTCCTCTGCTGCCTTTCTTGTGCTGCCTGGGTGTAAAGTTTTGGGTCCAGAAACAGCAGGCAGAGCCGGTAAAGCCCTCTCTTCTCGTGCATGGGTGCTTCGTAACTGTGCTGAATTTGTACATCTTGCTGCTAGCTGTGTTTTCCCCCTTCCCTTTTTCTCCTCCCACAAACACTCTGGGCCAGGGTAGGCAACCTTGGCTCTTTTATGACTGGTGGACTTCAACTCCCAGAATTCCTGAGCCAGCTTAGCTTAGTTTAGCTTAGCTTAGCTGGCTCAGGAATTCTGGGAGTTGAAGTCCACCAGTCATAAAAGAGCCAAGGTTGCCTACCCCTGCTCTGGGCAAAGCCACTGCCATTTTTTGTCGAACGATATTGTCTCCATTTTTCTGTAACGTCCGCTTGCTTCAAGTAGGCTGCCTTAGCCAGAGTCTTAAATATACGTAGATATATTTAAACCCATACTGTTTTGTTCACATTTAACATCCAGAGTCCATCTGTCGTGGCGAGTGCGATCAGAAGTGAATCGCAGTCAGATTTATTGAAGTTTCTGATTTGGGCTCAGTAAGAGATATTTCTCTTAAGGGGAGAGAAAAAGTTGCAAGAGTCACCGTCAAATTTCTGCTGAGCTTCAGGGTGCCTTCTCTTTTGGGATTCCTACATTGATCATGACTTCAGAAATTAATATTTCATCAGTGGTGGTGGGCATGTTTCCCCTGATCAAGGACACTGATTAAGGCCTGAATGCTGGTAGTCCTCAACCTATGACCACAATTGAGCCCACAGCTTCTGTTGCTAAGCAAGACAGCTGTTCAGTTGTTCAACTGCATCCGGTTTGGGTTGTCATATTACTAAAAAGAGGTTGAGACTCTGGAAAAGAGTGCAGAAAAGAGCAACAGAGATGATTAGGGACTGGAGGTTAAAACATATGAAGAGCAGTTATAGGAATTGGGTATGTCTAGTCTAGTGAAAAGAAGGACCCAGGGGTGACATGATAGCAGTGTTCCAATATTTGAGGGGCTGCCACAAAGAAGAGGGGGTCCACCTATTCTCCAAAGCACCAGAAGGCAGGACGAGAAGCAACGGATGGAAACTAGTCAAGGAGAGAAGCAACCTAGAACTAAGGAGAAATTTCCTGACATTTAGAACAATTAATCAGAAGTTGTGGATGCTCCAGCACTGGAGAGTTTTTAAGAAGAGATTGGACAACCATTTGTCTGAAATGGTCTAGGACATGGGTAAACAACCTTGGCTCTTTTATGACTCGTGGACTTCAACTCCCAGAATTCCTGAGCCAGCCATGCTGAGGGGAAAGGGAGAGGTTTCCAAGCTGAGCCATGCTGGCTCAGGAATTCTGGGAGTTGAAGTCCACGAGTCATAAAAGAACCAAGGTTGCCTACCTCTGGTATAGGCTCTCATGTCTGAGCAGGGGGTTGGAATAGAAGACCTCCAAGGTCCCTTCCAACTCTCTTATCCTGTTAAATGAGTTTTGCTCCATGTTATGACCTTTCTTGCCCCCATTGTTAAGTGAATCACTGCAGTACTTAGTAACACAGTTGTTAAGTGAATCTGGCTTCCCCCTTGCTTTTTTTGTCATAAATACATGCCGGTTGCCAAACCTCTAAGTTTTGGTCACCTGACCATGGGAATGCTGCAAAGATTGTTAAGTGTAAAAAAGCCCCCTTTTTCAGTGCCATTATAACTTCAAGTTGTCACTTTAACAAATGGTTGTAAGATAAAGACTATCGGTAGATACAGAAGATAAGATAAGATAACCTTTATTGTCATTTTTTTTTACTGTGGGCACAACGGCACACATCAAAATTGAAATTTAGTTGCCCGCTCCCAAAGTGAACACATACACACACCTAACATACTATATACAACATATGTATAGACCCACACCCCTACATATACATAACAAATAACCGTGATGTAAAAAAGATGTTGAGACTCTACAAAGAGTACAGAGAAGAGCAACAAAGATGATTAAGGGACTGGAGGCTAAAGCATACAAGGAATGGCTGCTGGAATTGGTATGTCTAGTTTAATGAAGAGAAGGATGAGGGGGGACATGATAGCAGTGTTCCCGTATCTCGGGCTGCCCCAAAGAATGGGAGTCAAGCTATTCTCCAAAGCCCCTGAAGGCAGGACAAGAAGCAACGGATGGAAACTAATCAAGGAGAGAAGCAACCTAGAACTAAGGAGAAACTTCCTGACAGTTAGAACAATTAACCAGTGGAACAACCTGCCTCCAGAAGCGGTAAATGCTCCAACACTGGAAGTTTTTAAGAAGAGACTGGACAACCATTTGTCTGAAATGGTGTAGGGTTTCCTGCCAGAAGACCCATGGCACAGGCTTAGCCAGTCACAGAAGGATGTCTGCCACATTTGTGAATTTTCTGGCTTCAGAAGGGCAGCGCGAAAATAAACGGGAGGTGTCAAAATGTAAGCGACGAGTTAGGAAACATTTCTGGGGGGAAAAAAACCAAAACTTTCCCCAAGAATTCCTACTTTCCTAACCCTTCTAAAGAACACAAAGTGCCTTTCTTAACCTCTTTTTCTTTTTTTAAAAAAAGTCCACTGCAAAAGTCGTTCATCCCACCCTCTAGCTGCAATTATAAACGTCACCCTGGTAAGAAACTGAATTGCCCCCTCGTAGCCAATAAGCGACAACAGCAAGAATACACTGGGTAGTTACAAACAAATAGAAAGCGAGAATCCTTCTTCTTGGTCCTGGCAAATGGCAGAAAGGATCGTATCCCCCGAAACTGAAGCTGAGCATTTCCAAGATCAAAGATGGCTGTCATGGTTCCGACAGATGAAACTCTTCAAAGAACTTCGAGGCATTGTTTACCTTAAAGAATCTTTATTCAAATAACATGGCACCGGCATGTACATGGTCGAAGCCAAAATCTGACTTCCCCTCCCCTCAGCACATAGTATCAAAGCACAATTCCCTCCTACAACTAACAGTCATAAATCACATTCTCCAATTAGTTTGAAATGCAGGCTTTCCGCCCAGTTCTTCATCCCGGCCATGCCTTATCATCTCTTATTACAAAATTGTTATGTCTAACTAACTCCCATCACATTCCTCCCCCTCCCCGAGCATCATCTAATTCTAAGAGTAAAGCAACAGAAAGAGAAAGGCTGCATCTCCATCTGTTGTCAAAGCAAGAACATCCAAGGTTAGCAGCGTTGACATCGGCAATAATTGAGGTCCTGTAGTTTTATGAACAGAGAAGAGATGTTTGCAGAGCGCGGGCAGGTGACTTAACAGCCATTCGTTTAGTGACCATTCAAAGATACAACGGTACTGGAAAAAGTGACTTGCGTTTGGTACTCACACTTCCATCCTTCACGGCCTCCCTGCAGTCAACGTGATCAAGAATTGGCAATATGTCCTTGGCAATTGGCACATATTAACAACTGGACAGCCATCTGTCTGAAGTGGTATAGGATTTCCTGCCAGAGCAGAGGGTTGGACTAGATGACCTCCAAGGTCCCTTCCAACTTTATTGTTGTTATTATTATTATCTTGTCATGTGATCACCATTTGTGACCTTCCCAGCCAGCTCCCGACGAGCAACATCAATGGGGGAAGCTGGATTTGATTGATGACTACGTTAATAATAACAACAACAACAACAACAACAATAATAATATTGCCATTAGTCAATTGCAAAAGGCGGCCTTACTAGAAACTGCTTCCCTCCTGCGACGATATCTGTAATATCATCAAACATCCACATCTGCCTGTCCCAGGTCCTTGGGAAGGACTCGATAGGTAGACAAAATGCCAAATCCAGTCTGAACATCTGGCTGTGTGATGATCCATAATAATAATAATAAAGTTGGAAGGTACCTTGGAGGTCATCTAGTCCAACCCTCTGCTCAGGCAGGAAACCCTATACCCTTTCAGACCAATGGCTGTCCAGTCTCTTCTTAAAAACTTCCAGGGTTGGAGCATTCACCGCTTCTGGAGGCAGGTTGTTCCACTGGTTAATTGTTCTCACTGTCAGGAAGTTTCTCCTTAGTTCTAGGTTGCTTCTCTCCTTGATTAGTTTCTATCCGTTGCTTCTTGTCCGGCCTTCAGGCGATTCACTTAACTGAGTGATTCCCATGTCCATGGCAAAAATCGTAAAAACCGGGCACAACTTAATGGAAATTCTAGTCCCAATTATGGTCGTAAGTCAAGGACTGCTTTATCTTCTAGGAAATCAAGATGCAAGTTGCTCCATTTTCTTTTTTCCTTTCTTTACAAGTTCAGCTAATAATCTTCCCTTCTATTGGCCAGGGGCTCTTTTTCAGTTGTAGCTGCTTCAAAATAAGGCTCCCGAATGCACTCAGGTAGTCCTCGACTTACGACCGGTTGCTTAGCATGGATGCCTCTTTTAATGGGCGGTCGTAAGTCCAGGACTCCCCGAATGTCTCCGTTTCACGTCAGTTGAAAGCCCCAAGCCGAGGATACGTAGCAGCCCTATTGTCTTGTGTACAGCAGTGTTCTGTCCCTTTGTGATCTTGTGTCTTGTGCTTCGGGCTGACTCTGTTGCTTGTCGTGGACAATGCTTAGGACTTTCTACTTGGTCTTCTTTTTAATATGAATCTCTACGGGGCGCTTTGTGCAGTGGTACATGTCAGGTTGTGACCTGTGGGGAGAGAAAGGGAAACAAAAAAGTGTTAACTGATTTTTGTTTTGTTTTGTTTGCTTTTAACTAGGCGTCAGAGTTAGGTCAGAGTTTAAATGAAAATGTTCTCAAACCTGCACAGGAAAAGGTAACTTTGGAAATAAAAGTACATGACTGATGGCTTTTAAATGCAATTTCCTTCTGCAGCCAGCAAGCTGATTCAATATGAATTATGTGTATTTGTAACATCAGTATGACCCTACTATCCCTATATCTCATCACTTATAGGTCCCTTCCAGACTTTTTGGGGTTATATTTTAAGATCTCTACCAATACGAGAGAACGTTTTAGCGCAAGGTTGAACTGTGGGATCGTTGGTGCTCTCTAAGCTTGGCTGTTGTTTTCCTGCA